CTTCTCCTAACTAAGTTTCTGGCCCCTACCGACCCACTGTTTCCCGCGCTCGCGTATTTCATTAGAATAATGTAAGGGATTAATTATCCACCGAAGGCAGAAGGCGGATATCCGTTTGCACTCGGCAATTTCCTCCTGCTACGACTGTTCGACCAATTTCCGCTTTGGCTCGCTTGCAATTTGTGAAATTGTTTCTCGGACTTAACAACGATCCTGAAGAGTATACCCTCTTCCTTTTTCGTAATTTGCATCGCCCGTAACGATCGGTCTTTAGTTTAGAAAAGCGGTTTCATTCCGCGTTTATATTGTACATGTACATACTATATATGTATCCGTGTCGCGAGTTAGTAAACATAATTTTGCAACTTTCGAAAGATATATTGACAAGTTTCATACTTAAATGCGATTAAGACATTAAACGCAGTTAAACGACAGCTGATTCTATTCCCAACCGCTGAGAACTTCAAAGTATAAAAGATAAACTGTTAGTTTCCGAGTCAGTTTTGCTTAAGCTGACTTTTGTTTAAGACGCTCAAACTTCCTCTTTAACTATATACAATCGACCAACTTAAGTTGCACTAATTTTATTAAATAATGCACAAAAATAATTAACCTGGCAATGGTTGGAACTCGAAGTATCTTTTGTGTTTCGCGATACAATCTCGATACTAATTTTCGCGATACAATCTCGATACTAATTTTCGCTATACTCGCTTATTTGTAAAATAATGAAAATATAACAAAATTTCCCTCTCATTCGTAGCTAATTATTTTTTCAACCCAACAATTAGTAAACAGTTTATTTTAGAATGTAACGCGCATTTGGAAATCAATATTCACTAATGCAGCACAATATCCAAAAAAGCTATGAATCATGCAATAATTGTTACTTGCACGACAATCGTATTATAAAATAATATTTTGTGCGATTTCCAATATTTTACAAAATCTCACGCAATATTCGATATCCTCCACAAATATGTGATATTCGAAAATAGAAAAAAACATGGAAAAATATATTCTTCATTCAAAAATATATTCTTCAAAAACATGCTGTGCCTGTAAACGTTTATTTACCGCAACAACTACTACACTTTGTTGCAGCTCTAATAATGCAGAGCGAAACGCATTGTGCGTAGTGAAGAATCGTGCATTAGAGACGATTTTCGAACCGCTATATGTTTGCGTTAACAAAGCATCGAATCTCCTGGTTTATCAGGTGGAAAATATGGTGATATGTTTATCATTCTGTAACATATATGCATTGCGGGGCCACGGCGGTAGAAATCGAGTTAGGCAGCGTGTGCTTCCCGAAAGCGCATTTCATTAAGCATATCTATTTCCTCGCATAGCGCGGCTTAATGCGCTTGCCGCGTTGGTTAAACCCTCCCGTTTTAATGGAAACGCGAATGTGCATAACCAGACGCAGCATCCTTGAACGTTCCGGTGAGATTTCGGTGTAGTAGAGGAGGAAATCTATCGCGAGCACAATATTTCGTAATTAAGATTTTACACGTAGCATGAGTAACTCCGTCGTAAATATTCGAAATTATAACGCGCACCATGAACCGCAGAGTTAAAACAGAGACAATTTTATCGCAATTTTATCGCCAGATTTTTCCTATAAATTTATGGAATCGCAAGCGATTTTAATTAAAATAAATAAAAAAAAACTTTATTACGTTGTAAAAATATTAAAAGATATTTTTAATTTTTGTGCAACAATTTTTATCTCTACATTTTTTAAATCCTGATAATAATACACAAATGCAATTATTAATTAATATTAATTATTAATTAATATATATTAATTACAAAGTAACAGTTGATTATACGGTTGAGTTAATCAAATTAACGAATAACGAATATTACTCTTGTTATATTTGTTTTTCTTTATTTGTCAGTGGAAACTAATTAATTAAAGAGACACAATAATAAATTACGAGTACAGCGTTTTTAATGCTTATAAATTCAACTAACCGTGACCTGTTTGTTCAAGCTGCAGCAGTTTAATTTTTTTGCGATATTTTTGCTCGAATTATCGGACATAATAATGTATTTCTAGTGTCTTTACAGTCGAATGATAAGGCGATAAGGTTGAATCTATCACGATCGAGTACTTTTACAGGGGTCAGCGGCAAGGTCTGTATAAATAGCGCAGCTGCTGTTCGCATGAGTGCTCTTTCTTCGTGTATAGTTCAACAGCGATAAATCACAGTCCGCAGCAAACTGTTCCCGCGAGATCCGCCGGAACTTACCGCCTTACGTTCATTACTTTTCCGGGCCATTTTATACATCAACCTGTGAACGGTTGCAAAGCAGATTGCTACGGTTGAAACGACACCCTCTATTGCTCGACGAGCTTGGGGATAATAGCCTCCTCAGGCGGGATCGTGACTTTCCGAGCTTCTCGAGTGATAGTCTCGATTTCTCGTAAACACGCGACACATCGAACGAAGAGAGGAAGTTGGCGCGAGAACGGGACGCAGCTGCAGTAAAAGCTCGTAATCCCGAGTCACGAAATGGACGTACAAAAGAAAAGAGCTACGGTTCGGTGCGAGCGAGTGATACGAAGAAGAAACGGAGAGAAAGACGCGATACAGAGGAGACGAACTTCCTTACGCCACGCGAGAAAATAAGTTAACCAGCCAGACTGCCAATGGAAAGACCGATGTGTCTGAGCAATTCATCTTAGCTTGGCATTCGACAGACGCCACCAGCTGCGCTTCCTACACCAAACGCCTCGAAGAGATATATGTATATAACGATATACGGGTAGCTTTTTATCCCGGAAAAAAACAGGACTTTTCTTTCTAAGGACTTTCTATTTGGCTGCAAGCTGTTGTCAATATATGGATGAAGAGATATGTATACAACTGATGGAGTACGCATAGCAATTAATAATTAATTTGTCTTTGCAGAGAAATAGATAAAAATATATATTCACGATGGATTGCGATGTTCAAATTTGATCAAAATTATATATGATATATATGATATTGCATTATAATTAATTATCAATAATATATAATATTATTATTATTCATTTAAGCTCACATATTATACATGTATAATAATTATATATATTATTAAATACGGTAGACATTCTCAGTAAAATCAAATAATCATAATGCATGATTTGTGAATCGCGTAAATAAAGCTCTTTCTCGAAAAAAGATTTACTGTGCATTGTTAAAATGCATTACATTAACTTGGCACAATCATAATATCAATCAAAATTGAACTCTACAATCTGTATTTATAAAGTATATTTTATAGAAAGCCTTTTTCAAGTGCGATGATTTATGTGGCAATTGATAAATATTCACAAATTTACAATAACTAATATTTAATAATTTTGCAAATTTATCTCTTGTGCACAATTTGAAATATACTTAATACTTAAAATTCTTAAATTCATCAATCGTAAACAAGTAACTGACTTTATAACTAATTGCAAGTAAATTCTTTTTTATATAAATAAAATAGAATTCTTTCTTTCACAAATATTTTTGCAAAACTCAAAGAAAAAAGTCTAAATAAATTTTTAAAAATATATTTAAGAACACGTAATTATTTCGAACTAACGTAAGCAAAATTCTTTTAAACTCTAGTTCTCGGTAAATTATCTTTTTTTCTATCGTAGCGGATCTAAAAGAATGCTGGTACTTGCAATTTTTAATATACAATGCAGAGAGCCACCAGGAATTTTTAATCACGTATATGCACACAAATGAGAATTTTAAATATTTTTATATATTCAACGTAATAATTTTTATCTCCTTTTAATTTATATTAAAAATATAATACATACATGTTTTTTAATAATCTTGTTTGAATTAATAAAAAATTTTAGCAATTTCATTTGTTTATATATATAAGTATTCAAGAACGTAAAACAAAAGGTATAATTCAACAACTTAAAACATTATTTATTAAAATAATTTATTCTCCGAGATGCGCGAAGAATAAGAAGTTGTAATACACAACATGTATTTTTTATATGCATATGATAGAAATATATACAAGAAATAAATAAAGTAGTATGTTTAAATAATTATTATCTTAAAAATATAATAATTGTGAATGGAATTCTTATTTATAACCAAATCATCTAGATATCTAATAAAGAATTACATAATTTACAAAAAGAAATATTTCTCACTAAGAACCAATTTATATAAAACATTTTATAAAAATAAAAATCTATATTTTAGATAAAAATGTTATTAATTTTTCTCAAAATAATTATAAATTTCATATGCATTATCAAAATATTGTATTATATTTCTATACATAAATATTAATTATTGTAAATATATATTAATAAATATATTTCAAGACTGTTACTTTTAATATAAAATTTAGAATAATTTATATTATATTATATAATAATAAATCGCAAAGAGATAAAAACTATTAATTTAAAAAATAATAAATTACATTAGTTATAAATTACTTACCGATAGAGATGCTCCATTGTCGCTGGCCTTTCCCTTAGTCTCCTCCTTTTGTTCGCCTATTGCTCCTTTTCCACTCACTACTTATTTGCGAAAACACGATTAACGATCGAACACACATTAATCAAAAGAACATAAATGATCACGTGACACTTAACACGGCACTCCCGATGTTCATGATTCGTTAATCATTAATTATAATAATTGTAGAAAATATTCGCGTTTATAACATTTTCTATTCGTCGCGAACACGTTCAAAAAAATGTGTGTTGCTCCTTCGAGCCTCGCGTTAAGAATGTCAAGGCTATCTGCGTACGATACTACTTACGAACAATAATACTTGAGCCTACCGTGTCTGTTGATATCCAGTGGTGCCGGGGGGTAATAGAAAGAGACAAAACATGATTCTCTCCCTCTCCTTTCTCGGCAGAGATCCCCTCCATACTACCGCTTGCTATCAAAAGGCCGAAATCTGCCACTGGATATCAACAGACGTAATAGGTTCAAGGATTATTATTATCGTACGCAGGTAGCCTTGATATTCATAACGTGAGACTCGAGTGAGCAACACACATTTTTCTAAACGTGATCGCGACGAATAGAAAATGTTATAAACGCGATTATTCTCTACAATTATTATAATTAATGATTAATGAATCAGTGTCGGGAGTGTTGATATCGCGCTTTAACAAAAAACGAAGGCCAAATATAACTGGTGACTGTTTATGTACATGTACTTTGTGCCGCGACAAAAGATTTTTAAAATACTATAATAAAATAAATTTATTCGGAATGTTCTATTCCGTGAATTTCACAAACGATTGATGTATCACGGTTTTCTGTTATTTCAATCTTTCGATCGTTTGATCACATTTTGTTTAATTCTGACATTTATTTCGCTTTGAAACTTTTACTGATTTAGATTTGTACATTATTTCCGAATTAATACACAGTAACATATAGTAACACAAAATTGCAAAATTGAACGATCAAAGTACACATATAATTTGTAACACGTTAAATATTTCATGGCGACAATAATCACGTGTAATTCGACGTTTATTTTTGCCACGTAACACGCTGCGTTGTATACATATACAGTCACCTTGTTGTCATTTGCGCGGCGACACTCGAGCGAGACAGCAGACATTCCGTCGTATTATCTCTACTAAAACGAGACGTTAAATATAACGTTATAAATGCGATAATATTCATATACATTACTGTAGCACCGAATGACATCGTGTGAAACTAACCGCGCTGACAGTAGAGTGTGAAGTTGACCGGATTTTCATATCGAACGTTGCGCCGTCATGTGTCGTGTACAAAGTACTACGCGATCATTTATATTTTATTGATTAATGCGCGCGTGATCGTAATTAATCGTGTTTTTACGAGTGAGTGAGAATGGAAAAACAACAAAGTATAAAGGAGGAGACTCGAGGAGGCATCGGGCAACAGCGGAACAATCGTAACAAGGTAAGAAATATATAATAATATATATAAAGTGTCTCTCTCGCGACCGAATTTTTAATAGCATTCTCGAGCTAAACAAAAATCCGAAAAATATACAGAAATATGGTAGACGCTATATAGTATTTTTTAAATAGAAAGCATATAAAATTGAACCATATAAGGTTCACGTATTTAGGCACGGTATATTACATAGTGTTCCCGTTTCTATTGTTCCTTTATAATATATTTAGGCATATAATCATGAAAAAACCTTGTTGACCGAATCATAGCAAATTATTAGTATATTGTATATATAGGTAATAATAAATACGTAAAACTATTGTAGAATATTAATTGCACACGCGTAATATGTAATGGAGTTGGATAAAAACTAAATTATCATTAAATGTCATAAAATATGTCATTAAAAATTCGATCGCGAATTATACTTTCTGCGTATTTATACATACATATATCTATAATATAATTCGTAATTCATATTGTACACAATTTAATGAAGTTATAAAATATTTTACACTTTATTTTAAAATATAAAAAAATTTTATAAATTATGAAATTTTTAAATTATATATTTGCTAAAATGAAACTTAAAAATTTAGTTATAAATACTTTCTTGAAATATTATTTATTTTTTAGACACAGGTTGTTGTATATATATATATATATATATATATATATATATATATATATATATATAAAATAATATTATAATAATATTTCAAAAAAGTAATTACAACTAAATTTTTAAGCTTAATTTATATATATATATATATATATATATATATATATATTCCAAAAACATATAAAAATATTTAAAATTCTCGCTCGTATATATGTGTATGTATACAATCAGAAATTCCTCTATTAGTCCTTGTAACTTATGCTAAAAAAATTTAATTATTGTGACAATCAATCAATTCTTTACAATAGAAAAAAAAATAATTTATCAAAAGTTGGAAATCAGAAAGATCGTATGTTTCTATTATAAATGGCTATTTATGCAAGATTTATATCAGAAAATTTCAAATTTTTGTTCCCAACTTTGCGATAGATATTTGATTTTAAAAAAATTGCGTGAGAATATATATATTGCACTTGACATTTAAGCTTGTCATTTCTACAGATTTCATAAAGTTATAGCGCGAAAAATTTGTCCAAAAATTGTGACTTCATGCGCTATGGAGTTTCAAAAATAATCCGATGCAATAAATAAAGTTGCTCGCAGATCGAGTTATTCCACGTGACTTTCATCGAAGTTGCCGTGAAACTGTGAAATCCTGTGGAAGTTTTCGAGCCGCCAAGTGCAATCAATGTGTGTTCGATATGCGAGATATTCGTCAATGAAACGGACTGAATTTTTTTTATATAAAATATACATATATTGTATTGCATTTTCTACTTTATAGTTCAAAGAAAAAAAGCATATTCATCGTTTTATTTAATTTATCATTATTTATATTTCATCCATTATATTCGAGAATCAATGATAGGGATCTCACAGCATTCTCTCCTCTCTCTCTCTCTCTCTCTCTCTCTCTCTCTCTCTCTCTCTCTCTCTCTCTCTTCCTCTTTTTCTCTTTAGTATCCAATTTGAACGATTAATATTGATCATAAATAACAGATAAATTTAAAATGTGCAACGACAAACCGAGATCGAATAATAATAGTATATCATTTTATTTCTCATATTTATTAAAAGTTAAATTCTTTTAATGGCTCAAAAATGCAGCAAATGTAACTAAAATGACGATTTCTTGTGAGATCGACCGGAAATTGAAGTCGTAGTAATCATAAAAATCATCTCAAATAAATTCGTTCCAAATTTCCCGAGTGCATCTGAGCGAAATACGATCACAGTTAAAGTAATAAGTACTTAATGTCATTTTCATAATTTTCCTTATTCAATATTTGAATTACGGAACTATTGTAAGTTATATACATACTAACTATTGTAGTGTAAAAAATGAAATAATGAAAGTATGTAATGGAATGATAAAAAAGTCGAGTTTGATTTCTGATATCTTATTGGACTGGCATTAATGTCCAGCTAACTTTTAAGTCTTTTAGATTGTAATGCAGTTACGAACTTAATAACTGTACTCTCTAGAGAAAGCTCAGCTTGTATTTTCTTTTTTTTCTAAAAGTTCTTTCTTGATATCATGCTTCGTGAAAGAGGATTTAATGCAAATCAAATTTATATCCGCTATCGTGGCATTTGTAATTTCCCTCTTTTGCAAAATAATCTAAGAAAAAACATAAATCAGAAATGTACAATATTGAAATTAAGAAAAGGGAAGGATTTAAATTTTAATTAATTTTTGCATGTCTATTTACATAAATAATGTCTATAATATATGGAAAAGAATTGAGATATAATTCATTACATGATAAAATATAATTTTATAACTTATTTTGGATTATTGTTTGTTTTGCATTGATTTTATTAGATATCGATGATCTTTTGTTAATTTCAATCTTTACAGTAAATTTACATTAAAAAAATGTATGTACATCTTTAAAAAATAATACAATGATAAAATAATGTACATTAAAAAAGAGATGCATACAAGAATATTAATATATTAATATAAATTTATGTGTATGCATTTATATAATAAAACATATATCTATTTTGTACATGTACCTTAATATTTAAATTCATGTGTAAAGAAATTAACATCCCTATATTGTATCTTTTAAAAACTATAGAAATCGAAAACAAAAAAAGATCATCAATAAATAATAAAGCTAACACAAAATAACAGTTGATAGTAATTAAAGACAATGTTATGTCAGACAGAATGAAATCACTGGCAACTGCGCGCATTAGTTAATGATACAATAAGTCAAGCGGTAATAGTTAACTATGAATATTCTCTTGAAATTGAAACCGCATTGTTTCGCACAGCTTTATCTAAAATTCTATGGAGAAATTTTTTTTTTTTTTTTAATTTTTTCGGACAGCTCAATGATAAAATGAAAAATACACTATGCAAAAATCGACATTTTTTCCATCTGTCAGCAATATGTCGGCATCAACAGCGGAAAAGTCGAATCGCGAAAATACGTTGGAGTTCACGAGCGGAACTATAAAAGCTGCATGACGAGTGCGGGTGGGCTTTATAGATCGCCGTGTTGCTTAGTGTGGCATATAGAGTGCTTCTCGTCTCGCGGATGCACGAATGGGATAAACGTGGTGCTCGTATCATTCCGCGCACGTTTCTCCGGCGCTGAGGAAGAATAAAAAAAATAAAAAGTCGCGCCGATGAACGGGCTAGCAAATCGCACATATTTTTTTGTTCTTATTTTTCACTCTCGTGCCGCGCCACGTCACCGAGAAATGCGAAACTGTAACTGCGTGATATGCAGACGATATGCAACGCTAACCAGCTCGAGATGCAGTCATTGCGCCGACAATTTGAATGACACTCACGTCGACGGGAGATTTACAATACGGGCGCGGCTAGCCGTTTCTTCACCGATGCAACACTTTGATGGCAAAAGACGTGACTCTCGTTCAAGATATAATTTTGGAGCACATGCGGTGTTTTATTTTGCGAAAAAATATGTAACGCATATTTTTTTATTTTTTTTTTAATATACGGGATGTTACAGCTTATATTTCACCAATTTCTCGTTACTGATTTTTAGTTATCATTCATAGTAACCTGATTGACATCATTGCAAACAGTCTTCTTGTAAAATTTTCATATAAACAGTTTGCAGTATTTACAGTATTTTCCCCAAAAAAAACGTATCATGCATGCATGTCAGTATAAATTATGTAAATGATTAAATCATTAATTTTTTTTATTTTTTTAGCTTAATTTATTTTTATCTTTATTTTATTTTTAGCTTGATTTATTTTATAATACTGATCTTGTATATTCCCATACATTTGCGGACAAATTTATACAAACTGTGTAATGTTGTGCACTAAATTGTATCGTGCTCTTGATATCCGATATCAAAAAACTCACGCAAGGGGTTAATATGATCTACTGAAAATATATCGAATATAACGGTAAATAGCTTGAGGGTTCTGTAGCTGAAGGTTACGCGCGAATCCTCTTATGGTTCAATTTACGACCGTAAGTGTATCGCAATGCTTGTCGTACGCTGCGATCCATTTATACCGGAAATGTTCATCGGGACGCGTTTATACGTATATGTTACGTACTATATATGTTACGCAGATAGATGTGCCGAGAACGAAACATGTCCCCGAGTCCGATATAAATTCCGATCAGAAATATCCACTTTGTGGGAAAATTCGGCCGCGTGATTTATTTCACAGGTTTTCCGCAAACTGAAATACCCATTTCAATTTGCGCGAAATTTTCGCCGATACATCGTTTTCTCGTCGCATTAGTCGTCACTATTGAAAATTCGAATAGCATTAAAATCCATAACTGACATACACGTATAATATCCACTGTAATCCAATATAATATATTTCTGGTATAATTTACAATACAATCATATTTTTGATCAGGCTATGTTTTTGATTTATTAAAAAAAAAATGCTTATATTCGAATTTTTATTTGTCCGGAAACCGCTTTATTTATCAAGTAAAATAAAATAAAATTACTTGCAGAATATACGAACATACAATTTTAATACAATAAATATAATTAATGTAAATTATAAATAAATAATGACAATTTGCATCAATTAAATAAATAATACCAAATCGCGTAATTTTCGGATAATTGGTAAAAAATTTTATAAATACTAATATAAAAGCAAATTTTTAAATGCAATAAAGGATATAAGCCATTAAGAATCGTGCTTCAGAAAAAACAACTTGAACAGTTAATAAATCACAAAAAAATAGAGCTTGATATTTTAAATGTTGTTAAATTTAAATTCTGTCAGGATCCAACAATGGGCGTATTTTACATTTAACATAAATCAAATAAAGCGATTGTTTGCAGAACGAATTCACACACAAAACGTATAGAGTACGTTTAAAAAAAATTTTTCCAGGAATTTTTAAAAA